GGTAAAAAGACCAACTAGTTAAACACATCAACAAATTTCCTATATATTCAATTTATTTTTGTGTTCTTTACCTAAAATATTGAAATAGTGATGCAATTATACAATTTGCTACATGATACCTCTCTCTTGACAAGCATTAGGACCATGAAAAGTCGTTAAAGTACCTCCCACTTCCTGCAGAACGAGTACAATTAAATCGATGAAAACTTTCTGATTAAAGAGATGTCACTTCTGCTGGGTGTGGTTCAGTTAAAAGATGTCCGGACAAGAGGGATTCTACTGTAGGTAATTGGAGCAAAGTTTCTCACTTTTACATGCTTGCTCCAAGATTTTCATTATTGAACTTTTTGGTCCTCACTACTGAGGTACATGTTTATTTTCTTTACAGAAACTCGGGTTACCTGAACTAGTTACAAAACTTGTCATTTATGCATTCGCACACATTTGATTTGAGTTTTTATAGCTAGGAGGTATCAGAAGGCAGCTATGCTGTGATATGGAACAGATTTAGCAGAGCTGGCCTATATTTGCCTGGCTTTTATTTCTGTCACACACTTCTTGTGTGTCTCTGGCTCAAGCAAGGTTGGCTCAATGTCGACTGGCCTCTTCTTATCCATTTCATTTAACAAACTTTTAACAAAATGTTAAAATTTCAAACATTGTGATGAGAATAATAAAAAAAATAAGTTTCTCAATCCTGAATAAATTAAATCAAAACTGTTGAATCACTAACTGAAGCAAATCCAAAGTATCATCAATTTTATTTACTATGTCTTTTGTATGCTACTGAAACATTACTTGGTCAAGAAAATAAAATTAATTTAAAAGGTCTCGACTCCCCTATGTCAACGGCCAGTTTCTTCTATACACATTAAAGTGACAGTAGACTCCAATATTGTCCTAATAATGTCTCTGTATTAGTGGGTAGATTTAACATAAACAGGAAACTCATTTTTGTATCGTAAATATAAAAGTGTGTAGAACGTTCTAAGACAGATTTTGATAGTTCTCCTTGTCTATCTAAGACTTTTAATTTGTTCATAGGTTTAAGAATCTTGAACCTCTGGTTCAAGGCTGTATTACAATTTCATTTCATATTGAGATTAGTGATTGGCGAGATAAGAAACCCTGGTCCCTGGAACACGCGACACTTGACCAGCTTTTCTCTAAATTTGTATTTCCGATTGTAGAAATCTATACTTTTGTGACTAATAGTTATGAGGGTTTGCTGTTAATTAAGATCTCCATTGAGCCAAGTTACTAGCTAAATCCAAGACCAACGTCGTGATTACTTCATCTACTACTGTTCTAGAAGGTTTCCACCCTTATGGGACAATTGGTCTCATCATAGTACTTGAAAACTTTATGAATGAAAATTGTAAGATAATGAATGGAAGAAAATTATAATTGCGTTCAGTAATTACGTTTCTGTAAGAAGAGATTCAATCCCTATTCAGTACTGTTTCCAGTTGAGAAAAGTGTCTTGGACATACAAAATGTGCATGAGTAACTTTAGGAGTTCGCAGAAGGCCATACATATTTCCACAACGGGGGTGACAGTGTGTTCATCAGTTACTATCAAGCAGAGTTGAATTGGAGGAAACTATGCTGACGTAGTCCTTGATAGTCTCATAGAAACCACACCGTGAAACGCATGCAAAATCCCCCTTACTTTGGTCGCTGCACTAAAGTGATGAATGACAGCAGGCGGACTACACAATTGAAAACATTGTTCAAGAGTAAAAGATGACGTACAAACTCCGTCCACCCCTTTTGCTAATTTTCTTTGTATAGAGTGAAATTTTTCCGTAGATACTGTATTTGTAGTATATAATTATGTGTTTTAGTATTTTTTTAGGACAGGACAATATGTTACAAACATTTATTTGGTTTTGAATAGGTTCTAGGTATTTTTTTCGTATTTTTAAAGTCTCGAAATTCATGACCATCACGTGTCCCAAACACATTTTTCAACTTTCACGCGGTTTTTAGACTAATTAATCATGCAGAAATATATAATGCAATTTATTATGTCATCAATAGTTATTAAACTTAAAAAAAGGAGCATATAATAATTTTGTTTTCATTGCGAGCTGACTACCATGACAAAATAAGTCTGCCTCTCGATTTGAAGTCCCGACCATAATGGCAAAATTTGCAACTTTGGAACACAACAGTGGCAAGCCTGGCGGCAATAGTGTCAGTTGGTTTTAGAGACTGGTTCGGGATGTGCGTTAGTTTTCTTTTGCCGGTGGTGTTGCATAAAAAAAAATAAGTACAAGATTAATGGAGGTAAGTTTGTGGTTTTTGTAATTTTGGTGTGTCCACAACCGTATGTAGTCATTTGATGAAGTAGACATGGTGTTAATTTTTGTTGATGTTATATTTTCGATTGCTATGTTCGAACCTAGAAATCGACTTTGCCTCCTCAAACATGAGGTGTAGGGCTGCCACCAGAAAAGATCAAAATAAAACGTGTGCAGCTTTTGACGACTGAGACCATAGAAATCTAATCACTGATAGGCCAAATGGTTTTTACTTGGTAGGAGTGTCATAGGGATGGGAACCGACTTGGATAATAGTGGATGAAGTAAACATAGCCATTATATAGCCATTTCATAGTAATTCTAATTACTTTTTCCTTGTTTTGAGTTTGGAACAACACCAATCAGCATCACTCCATAGTTTTTTCCACTGCAGAGGTTTAATAGATGAAAGTTAAAAAAATTAACTCATTCCTACTACTAAAATGATTTGAGGAGGAAACACAATCCACTACTAGGTTGAAGGCTTATCAACAAGTTTTTTTTCGAAGGGGGTAAATACACCATGTCATTGTTAGGATTGAAAAAGAATACAGCTGAGTGGGACCGTTCTTGTCATTAGAGCATCGAACCCAGTCATGGAGGCTAAGGTTTGGGGGGTAATTGGAATAACCACCCAGTTTCCCAAATATAAGGTTTCCCATTGGGATTTCTCATAATACTGAGCCATTAAATAATCTTGATACTACCCAAATGTAAAAATTATTCTTATCTAATTGTACCTGTCCAAACATTTAACGTGTATGAACTTTGATCTGCTGCTGTGACACAATTCTTTTGTTAAACTTCTTATTTGAACATGTTATGGGTGCAAGTATAAACACCCCAAAGACGCGAGTTGCTTGAAAATCAAGTCTAATCCTAAGAATAAGCATTGTTTTTAGCAAAGTAGTCAAGATTCCCCCCAATGGCATTTTTATAAACCAGTCAACTTCTCTTCTTCCAATATGAAATACTCCAACCAAAAGGTAAGTGAGCGTAGCGAACTAATACAACCCAGGACATGCGAACGAGCTCATTTTATAAATGAACGACCATTTGACATAAAACCACATTAGGACAGGACGACATCTGTCGGGCCAGCTAGTTGTTAATATTTGTCGATTGATGTCATGATTAGCTTGTTTCAGGAAGTTGCAGAGTTGTTTTATTTCTTTGGCGATGTTAAAAATGTGGTTCGGATTCCACTATAAACTGTAGGTCCCTTAGTTGCCATTTGCTGTATGGGCTATTAATTTATAGCTGTGTCTAAGGAATATGACAGCCTTAGTCACTAACAAGACTACAAAAGATCGCACGACTCATCCTTCACTCATATTTGGGTTAAAATATGCACATAGTGGAGTCCCCATCTTAAATAATTGATATTATTTTGTTGTTGTTGTTAGCTGTTTCACTTGCCAGGTTTTTTTAACTCTAATTCTAGATTACAAGTTACCTTTTTGAATAAATTCAAACATAACTAAATCAATTAAAATCAACGAGTAAAAATATAAATAAAATATTCAAGAGTGTACATAAATAATTTGAATAAATATTTATTTTGTAACTATTAATTATTTGAATTTTTGTATGAAAATATTTTTATTTCTTGCTATGCCTTTATTTCTTGATCGCAGATTAAACATCATGTTAATTTACTAGATGAAAAAACGGTCGTCCACTAGAATTTATGTTTTAACGATCCTAAAATGGTTATTTTTATGATATAAAGGGTTTCCAGCTTCAACGGGAGAATCTTGGACGGGCTATTTGGTGAAGAGTTGGGCCACATACAATAATTCTTTTCAGTACAATAATTAATATTTAATACCATTTTACAAATGTAAATGTTATATAATTTGCGATCATAAACTGGTACAATTATTTATGTGCAATAAAGTTTTACACCGTGTGAACATAACACATTAATTGTTATCATTAAATAGTACAGTACAGGAGACAACGGACAAGATGTTTAAACTATTCCTTTCACTGTGGCTTAACAGCCTATTTTCCCATGTCGGATACAAGTGGAAACTCGTGATTAAACGGTCATTCACTGCACTCATCCTAACTATTTGAATAGGGGAAAAGTAAACACATAATCAGAAGTTTCTTGCATTAATTTATCTATAATGTATTGGTCGGTGTTCATTATTATTCACAGAATTACCGGTACTATGAATGCACTTTACACAATTTACCTGTAACTTATTTTCAGTCCATTTATTTTCCTGCTGTAGGCCCTATAGTTCGTATAGCTTTGTTTTAAGATAATATTATTTTTTTTATTTTTTTTTTATAAACCTGCTTGGATCTGTCAACGTGTGAATTAAGTCACCGAACTTTCCCCAGCTAACCATTGATGCAATTCGATAATAACAGTAATGACAAAATGATCTCTAGGGATAACAAGGAAACTTAAAAGGCCGGTTGAGGAGAATCCCTATATACTGTAGTTAGATTTATTTACTCCTTACAATTTGTAAGTAACCTCTGTTGAAATTATCATTGCGTTGCATTCGTACATTATTCATTATAAAACACTATATTATTGATAGGGCTGGGGACATATTTTTTTATATGACTTGTAAATATTTAGTTTTAGTGACTTGAGTTATTCTGTAGGCCTAAACCAGCACTACTTTTTATTAGGGTTTGCATATGATTGGCACAGGTTTGTAGGTTATGTACCTGTGGACCAGAGGGGTGATGAGCACAGTAGCACTAGTAGCCAGCAGGGTGACATGGCGGTGTCAATCACAGACACACGAACACACGCACACACGCCCGCACAGCACTGGAGTCGGTCGCGCACTGGTCGAGACTCAACCCCCACCCCGCCGCCGCTTGCAACTACAGTAGTGGAATTCTGCAAAAGTAAATGCAAGTGTCGAATTTGACTAGCGAATAACGTGAAACTGTCCCTCAATCACAAGGCTGTGGAACTCAGAGATCTGTGGTGCACTCAGACTCAGTCGAGATCAATGCCCAGTCGGGATTGGCGGCGCTTTTTGTTTTTATTGGAGTTACCTGTATCTCATAATAATATCATTGGTGATTATTTACTTAAGAAGAAAAGTCCATCAATTGTTTCATCACTATCACACCTTATTGGTTTATGTGACTGAATCCCTGTGTTAACAAATGGCTTCACATAAGTGCCAATTGGGGACTTGTCTAAGCCTTTGAATGTCTTGTAATCAGCCCCTTGCCGTTTGAAACTATTGATTAAGTTCATGCGAGGCCTTCAGATGTGCCAAATAAGGCCTCACATCTTACTTAATCATTAGAGTTAGCCAAACACGACTGTCACACTTCTAGGCCTCCAATCCAATATTGGCACACAGAATTCACGTTAATATACGATCCATTGTATAGTCAACCTTGCACTTTGAAAATAACCTGTTTCTGTTCTATTCGGATCCTAAGTAGTTTTTTTTTTTTTTTTTTTTTTTTTTTTTTTGTTGGACGTAATTGAACATTTTAAATGTGTGGTCTAATTTGTACTTTCTACAAAGCTGTCTGTGGTCTGCTATTCTCGAACACTCTCAGGTGGATTTGACAGTGTAAAGTGCGTCTTTATTTGCGAGTATCTAACTTTCGCATCATCTGGGTATCTGAGTGGTTATATGGTGCTAGACCAGTAGGAAGGTCGCCGGTTAAATTTTTTAGACAGATGAGATTTTTTATTGTCCAGCTTAAAACTTTACCTAGCTTTTCCTGGACCATCTGGTTTAATAAAAATTGTAGTTACTTAGGCCTGCCAGAGAAATATCTAAGTCACTAACAAAGCTACACAGGTCATCTATCTATATTCTTCTAATATCTATATTCTGTGCTTGTACTAGATGAGGCTATACTTTCGGCTATACTATTGCTTAGTAGAGAGTGGAATTCAGAAAGAATACATACTCGTGCGCCTACCAAATCATCCTAACTTAACTCCTAGTTATCGTTCACTGAAGTTTATATGCTCTTGGATAAGCAAGGGTAGACATAGAAATGTTGTCAAATCCGGGGCTTTGTTTATTATATCCCTATTGAAACCACTCTGACCTAACCTCACCGTAAACCACGACCGGTTTTGCTTGTCGTGGCCCATTGCCTCAATCCATCCATAGTGTGCAATAGTGTTTCAGTTTAATAGGCTCTAGGCTGTACATGTTTCTGTGTGAATTAGAAAGTAGTAATGTGTGTTACCTGTTGAGAAGAATTTTGTTACTCTGTGTATAATTCTAGTATGGTATTGGATCAATGATAAATTCAGCAACCTCCCCACTCCCCAACTCATGAGTAATAAATTAACTCGCTGCACTCAACTGGGGCAACCCAACCATAACACCCTACCCGCAAACCATGAACCTATCCTACATAAACCTACCTCGATAAAAAACAAAACCGCCCAACCGAACCCCAATCAGTGGCTGTGGCAGAATTGAGCTTCGTTATTACACTCTTCGTTATTTACACGTCCGGGGTCTCTGCTGCAGCTTCAATCCTTTCCCTGGCTGAAGAGGACAAAGTCCTAAAACAGCCTCAGTCCAGTAGGGTTTTGTATCACTGGACTGGAACATCACGACGAAAGAACGAACCCCATTGTAGTACTTATTCCCTGAAGCTACTCGAGACGACGTCTCGCTGTTCTTCGCGTCCAAGAGAACAAAAGTAGCTAATGTGTTTTGGCAGCTGTCGGGCAGATTCCGTGTTCGTTGGCAAGCGGCCGCGATTCATAGTTTTTTATTGACTGGGTTAGGCCTGAATCAGACAAATGACAACGTTGTGATTATAACTTGATAAATGCTCCATCGTTTGGTCTCAACTCATAGTTTGAAATATTATGTACTGCTTCTCGACCATTCATGGACTGAGCGTCAAGCGTCAACAGACAGCTCCGTGTTTGCAAACTTAAGTTTAACCATTGAATCATCGGAATAGGATATTTTTAATGATGATTGTTTGAAATGGATTAGGAGTTTAACCTTTTGAGACATAGTAGTATATTTCATTACTAGAGCCTGAAGTTATTTGTTTACATAAGGTCAAGTATTAATAGCGATGTTGAAAAGTGACTGAGAGTCGAAAAACACAAAAAAAGATTTGGACCAAAAACGACAGCTTGATGTAATTTTTTGGTTCTACGAATTGATCCTAAAACTCCCAAAGCTCCCAAAACTGCATCCTCCTCGAGTCCTTGTTTTGCAATTTAAACAGCGCTTCCCTATGTATTCAGTTATTTGACCAGTTTTGGTCTCAAGAAAAAGAGATTCTTCGAATATTACTCTGGCAGTGCAATAAGAAATTCGAGTACAAATGAAAGGAATATATTAACATTTTTATTGCTTAAAATATCGGTAAAGGGGTATTGATTTGTAATAAAATAGACTCAGTAACACTTTAAATTCGATTAAAACCATAACGGAGATGACCTATTTTAAATTGGAACTATTTTTTCGTCAAAGTTTGTTTAAAAGTGGGAGAAGGTTTTCTCTAGACCTAGAGATTAAAAAGAGATTCGAGTACAGATGAGTGGAATATATTAACATTTTTATTACTTAAAATATCGGTAAATAGGTATTGATTTGTAATAAAACTGACTCTGTAACACTATAAATTCGATTAAAATCATAACGGAGATGACCTATTTTAAATTGGAACTATTTTTTCGTCAAAGTTTTTTTTTAAAAAGGAGAGAAGGTTTTCTCTAGACCTAGAGATTAAAATTACATTAGCACAGCAACGCATAAACTCATTTAACCAACGTCTTTGTCCGGACAATTGTTTAATCAATTTACAGTACCATTGTAATGCAGTGTAATTAACAAAGGTTGTGAGGGTTTTGCATGGTCTACTCTGGACTTTCAGTGATGTGAGTCACTTTCAGTAGCTTGCGAGTATTTCTGATCTTACCGGAGCCAACTGCTGTCCACTTATCACACAGACTTGTACTGTGTAAAACACTGAGCTATCCAAACTTAACAACAGCTACCTAGCTATTCACATGAAACATATAAGATAGGCCTACTAGATGTTCCTAAAACGAGTTCAATTTGATAAAAATACCCCCGACGCAAAAGTACGATTAGACGCAGATTAGACGAATTTCCATTTTCTGGTTGGAGTTACTGAAATTATTTGTCTCCTAAATATGTTAGATTAAATCGCTATTTAATTAACATTACGTTTGACAAGTACATATCTTAAGACGGTGACACACTATCGATCTTTTCCCCGAACAAGACCCCGAACCGAGCAGGGAGAAGGGAGAAGGGAGGTCGAAGGGAGGATGTTCGATAGTGTGTCACGGGTCCGTACACCGATCAAGACGCCGAACAAGACATCAGGCCGAGCAGGGAGACGAGCGCTCTGGAGGCGGTTTTTTGGCGAAAGATCAAAGAAAAGATCGGTCCGATGTACGATAGTGTGTCACGGTACATTTTTGCCCCGTACATCGTCGCGAGCGCCGCACCGAGCGGCCGCCTGCGCTAGCATTGATAGTTCTGATTTAATATGGCAATTAAACTCTTTAATTGGTAAAATAAATAAATGTTGGGTAATATGTTGCCGTTATATATTATAATCATTTAAGATGTAATGTTTGTGGTTTGTTTGGTCAAGGTTGAAAGTATAGAAACCGTTAAATCAATTATATCAATAATATTAAGGTTGAATTAAGTAATTGATGTTGACTTAAATTCTTTCAAAAATAATATAAACATTAATATTATTAAAGGCAATTAAAATGATCATTCTGTAACGTTATTTCAATGACTAAAACCAATAGAAATCAATAGATATAACTAAGCATCCTTTCTAGAATATTTTATTTTTGCGACAAGTTTTCAAAATGCGACTTTTAACAATAATTTTTATGTTATAGAAACTTTTTAGCTTTGGTCTGGTGTGCATTTTTTAGATTCCACGGCACTGCCTCCGCGCTCTCACTCGCTCACACTCTCTATCTCTCTCCAAACTTCCTTTTGCCGCGCTCGGTAGAATTTGTCTGGTCTTGGTCATGTTCGGGGAAATGTTCGGAGTAAAATTTTGCTGATATTTATCTCCCTTCTCCCTTCTCCCTGCTCGGTTCGGGGTCTTGATCGGGGAATTGATCGATAGTGTGTCACCGCCTTTAGGTTTGCTGCTACGGGGAATGAAAAATGCGTTTTCCCCAAACAAATACATTTGCCAAATACAGTATGATCAGAATTTACAAATCAAGCACACAAGCAACACAAAAAGTAAACTACATAAGTTCACTTTTTCTTCACCATCAGAATAACGTAGAGATTTTAAATGCACAGTTTTTTTTAAATTATTTTCATAGTCATTCATTAGTCATGTGTACTTATTCTACAACTAACCAACTCACGGCTACACTACATAGTTCCTAACAATTCTGTGCTCCCGTGTGTAAATTTCCTAATTATATTTAATTAATTTCTTGAGCCCCCCTAAGTCACATACAATTTGAACTGTACTTGAGAATTGGTCATTCACGTTCTAATGTTAGCTTTCAGAAAACATTGTAATTTGTTTTTCATAGTAACTTGACCACATATAAGTAATACACGCGTTAAACATTGTCAATACTGTAGTTATGAAATTTTACACGATATTGGTGTTATAGCACTGCCCTTTAGACAAGGAAAACATTACAGTTCTTATTGTACTTTGTTATAAAATATTTCTATCCAATACTTTGTAAGTGTTTCGACACACTTATGTTTATTTTAGTTTTTATTTCCAGCACCAACTGAACGTGAATGCAACACTCTGCATGTAACACTCTGCATTCAAGCTAATTTTCCAATTGTGACCATGAAACGAATATTTAGTACAG